GGGGCGGCCTGGCCGGGGCGAGGTGCGGGGGCCGGGCCCTGGTGATCTCGGTCTGTGTGTGAGGGAGGAGGAGGAAGAACGTCTCCCGTTGGCAGCGAGGGAACGAAACAGGCCCGCGAAGAGTTGCCTAGGGCCGAGACCAGGACGGGAGCGGTGCCGGCGCAGGCAGGCAGCGTTCTGCAGGGCAGTCGAGCATCGCACCCTTGGCTTTCACGCGGCTCTTAAACCAAGTCGCTCTTGATGTATCTGCACTCACGCTGTAAACGAAACGCTTAAATTTATGCATAAGTGACGCTCTGCAAGGGAAAGCCAGAAAGGATTGCTTACCTGTCAGCAGGCCTGTGGTTGACAGCCAGCCCGCCAAGTCGGCGTGCCCCAGGCATGGCTGTGGGGCAGAGGGTGGCCCGGGGGTTGTCAAGTCCCAGAGTTGCCTGTCGGGTACGTTGGGTGCCTTGTGTCAAATCAAGCAGGTCCGCGTTTGAAAATGGCTCGCCAAAAATGACGCTGTGAATCAACCAATTGTGTATTGCCAAGGGAGAATACGTATGTTTCCCACTTGTCTCTTCCCATTTTTGGTGCAACATTTGAGAAGGGAGGAAGGGAGAGATGGCATGAGCTTCCGTGACCAAGGCGGATTGTAGGAGCCACATCAAACTCTGCTGGGCGTCTCTTGTCCAACCTGTTTTACAGAATGGAGGTGTTTCCTCCTTACCCTGGTGTTCAAGGTGGTGGTGTGACACATGAAAGTGACTATTGGAAAAAGGCTGTCTCAGGAATATCCCGTCTTCTTCTGTCTGCTGGAGTAAAGCTAGGAATTTGTGTCAATTGTCACAGAGAAACAAGAAACAAGTTCTCATCTTGGCTTTCACTTGCAAAAACAAATGAACAGGCCTTTAACTGCAGACAGCTGCTGATTTGGATTTATTGCTCTCCTTAGTTTGAGCCACTATGTGGGACCAGAAACAACAGAAATAAGCATTGTGCTCCCCCTTATTCTCTCCTGACAAATACAGTTCTTATTTCTTATTGTCTTGAAGTTCCTATTTCTCAAGCTTTCTGCACTAAGGGATTTTTTTTTAGGAAGTTATTGTAGTTAGAAAAAACAGTCTTGTAGGTAGCTACGAAGCTTTTCATTTTTGCAATTGCAGCTGTGCAAGTAATGTATGTTTGTGTACCTTCAAATCTACTAGCCTTTAGCACTGTTTTCAGAATAATTTTCACTGCTGCTTTGTCACTGTGAAGGACACAGTATTATAACCAATGTCATCTTTCAGCTCTTTGTTGTCCGTTGAAAAGTCTATGTATGAAGATGCTTTTTGTATAGCTCTTGAAGCAGTAGTAGCACTGTAAACACAGGTCTCTTTTTCATGGAGTTTGTTTGGAATATGTATTTATTTGACCAAAAACAATTGGTGTGAAAGGATTGGTGTGAATGTATATGCCCTCTTTAACATCCCAGTGAAAGTTTGGGGGCTTTCTGATTAAAGCCTGTTAAGGCTGAAATAATTTCAACAATGGTTGTTTTAGAGTGTTTCTGATTATAGGAATGAAGAACGTGAATGCTTCTTTCTGTTTGCACAGAAATTGTTGCAAGGCTTAAAAAATGAAAAGGGTGGCTGCAGTTTCTAGAATTTATCCTTCATGCCTTTGTTTCTGTTAGTAATTCCGCCTTTTTGTGTTAATTTTCATATGCTTCAAACCTTGTAAGGACATTAGCCGAGCCATGATGTTGCCTTTTGTGGACTAGAAGAAAGAGCTCTAAACAAAGCTTGTGTGACAGTCTGCTCCTTTTAAATTCTCACCCAGGGTTTATCTAATGTCATGTGACATTAGATATACACACATTCATTAGGAGTAGACTAATATCTTCCTGAAAGTACTAACTTCTTTCCCCTATAGAGGTCAGAGGATTCTGAGTCAGATGCAGACCTATCTACCTTCGCCCAGGTGAATCACACCTAAGCACATGTTATAATAATATGATTGATGTCTGTATTATAAATAATACTTACTTTAATAAGTGGATGTTACCAGTAAATAGTTTTTAAGTAGTACAGTGGAAAAAACTCCTGTGAAGTATGGTTTGTTTCACCTGACAGCATTCAGGCTTCTGCTGGCTACATCAGTTGGCAGAAAACTTAAATTTTTCTATGAAGGCCTTCACTTTCATATCTTAGTATTCTTAAGCATCAGGTAATTGTAAAAGTTTGAACACTGTTGCTTTGTAGCCTGGCTTAAAAGTTGGTCTGCACAGAGGTTACACTTGTGGAGGAGAGTAACCTCTGACAAACCAGAATAAGGACAGAGAAGAGCAGGATACAGGACTTGCATCTGGAAATATCGTCATTGTTTTAATGGACTTGGGAACTCCTTAACAGCTCTGAAACTCTCTTATATAAGGTTTCTTCAGCTGATCTACCTGTTGCAGTTGGGTCTGGCTGATTGAAAAGCAGTGGGCACTCAGTGAATAATGTTACTGCTGAATCAGGGTTGAATTTGCAGAAAAGTGTGTGATTAAGGCTCTTGCTGTGGTTATGGTGCAAAAAACCACACTAGGTAAAATAGCTGTTTGTTACAGGATTTTGAAATAGAATTTTGTGTACCTCATGATTACATTTTGCTAATATTTCATGTATTTGAAATGCTGACAATTCTTTGATAGCTGACAGTTCATCCTGAACAAAGGGAGGCTGTCAAACGTGCTGCATGTCTGCAGAGTCCTTAGCAGGTAAGATGCTTATGTAGTACTGAAAACTCCTAGCTATAAATATTTTCTTTCAGATATAATAAAGGAGCAAAATCGAGAGTTAAGAGGTACACAGCGGGCTATAACCAGAGATAGAGCAGCACTTGAAAAACAGGAAAAACAACTGGTAAGTAGAGCAGGGAACTTTAATTTTACTCTTTAAAAACAAACACACGCCCGCAATATAACAGAAAACTTGCACATGCTAAAGATACAACTCAGTGTGTAATGAACACTAAAAAGGTTGTTTTCCCCTTTTTGACTTTTCAGTTATTAAAATTGCATTGGAGAAAAATTACTGTCTTAAAGTGATTCTCAGCCTTTAACATAGGAAAAGCCTGAAACAGTGTTGAGATAAAATAACTGCATTTATTTTTCCCTTCCGTTAATGTTCTCTATGCTTCAGAAAGTTTTTCCTAACAGGCTTGTAATTCAGTGATCTACAGTACCATCATATGTTACTGTGACTCTCCTGTGGGAGAGGAGTCTTGAAACACCATAGGCTATCATGAATACCCCATAAGGTGGGTATTTCCATTCATATAGAACTTCCCTTAAACTGGCTAATAATAGTGGAACTATCTACCTAAATTAAGATCTATTTAAAACTTAGTGTGTGAGAGCTATCAAGTATTCAGTGAATGGGTGCTGCACCTGTGTGGCAGTATAACTGGATGTGACAGATGGTGAGGTTTGATGCATGAAGACATTCCCAGACTATGGGAAAAGCTATGCTAATTCACCCACTGTTTCAGTAGCTGTTGAGGTGTTCCTTCATGGCAGCAGCTCATACTACCAAGAGCTGGAAATAATAAACTAAAAGAGGTCAGAAAAATTGTTTCTGGAAGCCTTGAACATATAACAGGTTACTCATAAATAAGGCAGTATGAACATATTCTGACTCTGGAAGTAACCTTAATTTTCATGAATACTCAGGTCGAAGTTTTGATTACTTACTACAGTAATTTGTTTCAGAAAAGTTGGTTTTCTGAGGAGAAAAAGAAGAAAGGAAAAGTGAAATACATCTTTCAAAAAGTTAAAATTTGCTGTTAGGATGAGAGAATCAATGGACAAATTAATTTTCAGACTCTCATCAGGTGAAAAAGGGCTGAGGGCTTGTCAGTCAATCTCAGAACATTTTGTTATGTACTTCCTTCAAGAAGACCTTTTTTTCCCCTTAATTATGAGGTACTAAACTGAGAGAAATCTAGTTATATTAATTCTATGGGTAAAAATAAGTTAAGGTATGTAGACAGTTCTGTTTCAGTTCAGTAACCTCACATGACTTGATTTTTTTTTTTTCCAGAAGAACATAACTGACTTTAATAAGCTTGCCCCAAACCTCTCAAAAGCAAATAATGTGTTGCAGCTCATTAACCAAATTCTTCTTAATTAAGAATAATAATGTTTCTGATTTCTGCAGCTGGATTATCTGCCAGTGTTTTCCAATGGTTGGTGTAGGTTTGTATTTCTCTTTGAAAATCCTGTAAATCTATAAATGCTACTTAGGTATTTCATCTCAGTGATAAAATCCCTATTTTCAAATGTTTGCTATTAAAATTCAGGTGCAAACTAGTGTTTGCCAGCATGCAAACAAATTCCCTCCTATCCTTCATAGTACTTGCAGTATGAAAAAAGAAGATAATATCCTGGGCATGCTACAGAAATTTGTTTTTCTAGTCTGTGTGAGCTATTTACAAAGGGGACAGGCTTAACATGGATTTCAGGCCACTAATGTTTGAATGCTCTTATGCTGCTTATTTGCTGATCTGTACTTTCATGGATTAAAAACAGTATCTATGACATGGCCTTTCAGCTGTTATGGATTTGCAGAGGATATCTTGTGCCAGTGCCATCTCTATAGGCAACTTAACCATGATCCTTTCTAGTAGTAAAGCTGATGCAGTGGATCAGTTTTCCTTTAAACACAACTGTTTTGCATATCCTCATGACCACTATTTACCTTTTCAAAGCAACACACCTCCTTTATAGGTGCAATTTTTTGGACTACAAGTGCACATAAAGTGAAGCAACTGTATTTCTGTAGCAGGTGTATTCTCCTGAGGAATCAAAGGAGAAAGCTGGCCTTTAAAGGCTGCTTTTACTTAATGGTAAAAATCACAATATACAATTGGACATCCAGAAAGAACTGAGATACTGTGGGAAGGTCTCCTTAAAAATGCTGAAAAAGAAAAATTGGTTGAAAAGCTTACATTACCAAGTGACAAGGTTTGGGTTTGTTTTGGTTTTTTTGTTGAAGCCAGAAGTGTCTGTCTTAAGGTTTAAACACATGTTGTTATAGACAAATTATACCACTTTTATTGCATTTGCTAAATTAAGTCCAGCTAAATTACGTGGGCGAACAGCCTATAATTATTGCTAATCTAGTTTTCTCTACTGCTTCCCCAAAAAGGCTAGGAGATTCTTTCAAGGCTGAAAAACTGTTAAAAAAGAACCTATGAACTCCCCATTTCTTCTGTGAGCAGTGTGACTTCCCTGCCCATGAATGCTAGAAATCGAAGATGATTAGAGTCATAGCCCTGACAGTTGGCTGGCCATAATAATTTCTTCTCTTTTTGGGGTTCTTTTGAAGTGTTACTCCCTATCCAGATACGGAATTGAATCTGCGTATATAAATGAATGTGATGTTATGCAGAAGTTGGAGTTTTTTACGGAACTGTGCACTACCATACTATAATTCAGTTTTGTTGTTTTCCACCCCCCCCCCACCCCCCGGTCAAATTGTAGCAGCATTGCATTTATTCTGCTGAAGAGGCTTGCTAGAAAAGCAAGGAAGACTGTGTATAAAACTTTAAATGTCTTTAAAAAAAAAAAATCAGGAGGATAGTTAACTTTTAGAATTTTATTATTAGTGTTAAGGCTTAATTATAGTCTTTGAATGAAAATTATGTGGAATTAATCTATACCTTTTTTAACAGGAACTGGAAATAAAGAAAATGGCTAAGACTGGTAACAAAGAAGCCTGTAAAGTGCTTGCAAAACAACTTGTTCAGCTGCGAAAGCAGAAGAATCGAACGTATGCTGTTAGCTCTAAGGTCACTTCTATGTCAACTCAAACAAAGGTCATGAACTCTCAGATGAAGATGGCAGGAGCCATGTCAACTACAGCAAAAGTAAGGTGCCACAAGACATTCTTTTACATTAAAATACAACATATGGTTGCAAAAGTTAAGTCATGTTATTCTGTATAGGATAATAGAAGGGACGTAACTTGGTGCTTAATACACCAATTCATGTTAAGGATACAGTAGGGGAATATCATTTGATTGTTATTATGAAATTTTTGTTTGGTCAGTCCAGCCAGTTAGCACTGCACTAAGCATATTTTTTTGGGCTAGACATCTGCTAAATGCTTGCATGATAAAAATAAACTCTAATGCCTGTAGAAGTGCTCTTTTAGTACATAAGAAGAACCCAAACTATGCCACTATAGTATCGTGCCAGTATAATTTTGTAGTGAGCAGTTTTTATTGGGGAAAAAGTAGGGCATGTTTCATCTAGAAATCAAGGCACTGTGTCACAGTAGCTTTATGACTTGTGCAAAAAGTAGGTTATTGCTTCAGATCGGAAGTTCCTAAGGATATCTAATCTGGATTCCCTGTCATTCTCACTTTGCATGTTCTAAGGAAATAGTATTGCATTAAGTTTTCTCACAAATCTCATCTCAGAGAAGAATCTGAAAAATCTCAGTAATCTAGTTGTGATCTTTCTGCTGTCCCAAAAAGAATGATGTTATCATCAATACACAGCATATTACCAGCGGCATACCAGCCATATACCTCCCTCCAGCCTTACATCATGTACAAAGGATCCAAGGCAGCCAACCACTGGCAGAATAAAAAAATTTATTATTTCACTTACAATGCTGGATGCAGTAGAGGCAGGGGCAAACTGACCAAGGACCCAGGCGATCAGTCCAGCTCCAATTGTGCAGGCTGAGAACAATGCCATTGTTCCTTCCTCTGCTCTCAGCTGTGCCGATGTCCCACCACTGCTGGGGGCTCTGCCCACTGTGGGCAGTTTGGGGACTCTTCCACTAACAGAAGATCCTACACAGTATGCTTACTGCTTAGGTAAGCTACTCCTAAACCACTGTAGGCAGAGCCAGCTTTTGTACTGTTAACTCAGATGTGGGACACCTGATGTTAATGCTGAAGGCAGGGCACCTGGTGGTGATCTTCTCATTGGTTTTCACCCAGGGCCTGGCCAGCCTTGGGTTGGAACCAATCAAGAAGGTCTTTCTTGCCTGATTGTGGACATGATCCACATGTCAACCGTCGTTCAGGGGTGGGGGTTTAAACCCCAGCACTTCACCTATTTTCCTACAAATAGGGAGTTTGCTTTTGGCAAGAAGGATTGTTCAGTTTGAGGTGTAGAAGAGAAAATTAGCATCCATCCTTGTAGACAAGTCGTGCTTTTGTCATAGTCCAAGCTGCATCTTGTTACATGCCAGTTAAACCCAGTAGTGCAACACGACTTGGTTCAGAAAGTAATTACTGCTAAGGCGTTGCTGTTGGTTATCTTTAAGAAGCAGTATGTTGGTAGATATCTGCTCTTCGATGATCCAAAGATGTGGCTCCGTAGGAAGCTTTCCATCCTCTGTCACTAACTCACCAAGGGGGTTCTTGTGTGACTGTACGGCCGATTGAGTTAAGCAGCTTGCTCAGTATTCCTGCCACAGTGTGACCTGTGAACAAGTTGGGCTTGCTTTTTTAATTATTGCATCATTGACTTGTTTTTATCTGTGAGATGTCTTGGATTAAATTTCTCAAAACTAGTGTGTCACTAGATTAATTACGAAGGTTAAGTCAGTAGAAAACCCAGAAATATTTAAAAAAACAAACAAAAAAAATTAAACCACCATCCAGAAAAATTATGTTTGTCAAAGCACAGCAGGTACATCTATGGACTAGTTTGTGTAACGTTATTGGAGAGAAATGTGTGAAATTCTTTTGGTCACTTTTAAAGTGGGTATTTTGTCTTTTCAACATGAGTAGCTTAAAAAAACACATGTATTCAGTCATTCATTTTTAAGCTTATAAACTATTCTTAATCTCATACAACTGTCAATGAAAACCACATGGAATCAGTTGCCTCAACAAGCAAGACAAATACATGAATGTGAAGCTTTCAAGATATTTTCTCCACACTTCAGCATGTATGGCTCTAATTTTGGACATAGGAAAGTCCAGTTAATAGTTACCTGACCCTTCTTTTCTGAAGATATATAAACTGTATCAGTTTAGTGATTTGATAGCCATCTCTAACTCTTGTACAATCATTCTGAAGAACCAACACTAAGTCCAGAATCACTTTTAAAACTCAAATAATGTGACTGTGAATACAGTCTTTGAAATTCAAGTACCTTGAGAAGCATAATATATTATAACTTTAAATGAACTGACACAAAGGCAGAAGAGCTTCCTTGAAGCCAGTAGTGGCTGTAGTAAATGGATAGTATCCCTTTTAATTGACCATCTCTTTTATCATCTCATAGATGGCTAGACTTTATTTGACTTGTTCATGTCTGTATCTAGGTTTTAACATCCTATAAGAGATACACTATCCTGTTTGTTAGAAGATAAGAAAGTACTAAATACTGGTGCCTGCAAAAGCAGTACTGCATACTTGTAGTAAAAAGTGTCACAAAAAAGATCTCTGTCCATTTCAAAGGCTCGCCCTAAGCTAACATGTCCTTCCTGAGCACTTTCATATTTGCTTTTCAGAGAAAAGTTGGTTTGTTTTTTTTTTTTCTGTTAAACTATAACATAAAGGAACAATCAGAATTTAGTGCCTGTCATTTTAGTAGTGGTTCAAGTAACTATTCCTTACTGAGTAAAAAACCTGCAACCATTTACCTCTATGAAGTGCAGAGCCTGTAAGTTAGGAAATATTGTCCTCTTTTCATTTAGACCAGGCAGAGTTTTCCTAATATAAGGCCAGGAAGCAGGTGCAAGAAAGACACATATATTTAAAAACATGTCTATTAGGGCAGTAGGTAGCGATATTTCTTACTAGCTGCAGACTGTACTAGTGCTCTGTGTATCTGCAGTTCTCACGGGATGTAAAGAGAGAAGGAAAGTGAAATTTGGGCTGAAGGGTCTTTTATGAGAAGACTCATTCCTTTTTAATGTGTATATGTTGGTATTTACTAATGTATCATTGTATGACTAAGGGGTTTTTTTTTTTTCAAATATTAATAGACAATGCAAGCAGTTAATAAGAAAATGGATCCTCAAAAGACACTACAAACTATGCAGAATTTCCAGAAGGAGAACATGAAGATGGAAATGACTGAAGAAATGAGTAAGTTCTGCACTACATGGAACATCTAGCTGCAGCACACGGTGCTCTTGGAAGGGTAGAACCAATCTAGAAACACTGATGCTTGAAATTTTGTTTTTGCAATTAATGAGACTAACAGCAAAAGTGGAGAGCAAATGAAACAATACATGTCTGAGCAGGGAGAGCGAGCTTTAGACATTTTAGGAGCTCGATACTAAATCTAGAATCTCATCTTTTCCATCTTCATCAAAAACAACCATCATACTTCTTGAAAGCTTTACGTGCATGGTGGTATGGGATGATTTTGTCTCTCTTAAATTTTAGCTCGCAACTTTCTTCTTGGGGTGTGGCAAGTTTCTTATTCCTGATTGCATCTGTGTGCTGTCAACTAAATAACACCAAACTTCCTGGTGTTGCTAGCACAGTCTCCTTCCTGTCCTAATCCCTGCCATTGGGTTGGCCTTAGTAAGGGGGGCAGACTCAAAACAATATTGTTGAGTAAGATATGAACACCTCAGCTGCGCTGAACTGTATTTCAGCAACTCAGAAATCAGCCGAGTAGTTAACGATTTCACAACTGACTTAGAGGAGGAAGAGAAAGGGGATTTTTGTGGAACTGTAGAAGTTTTAAAATGTTAAAGTCAAGCAGGGGGAGGTAGAGCAACTGAACTATTTTGGTGAAACTAAACATTTTTACAAAAGCAGTCATGCCTTACCCTCTTGTTGCTCGAGCTGTGCTCACAGGTTTTGCAAGGCAGAGGTGAGGAAGCCTTTCTACAGACGAGAGAGGTGCTTTCTGTTGCTGTCTTACATGGTGGTATTACTACTGCCTTCTGGGAAGGTAGAAAGATGGTACTAGGATATTTTAGTAAACTTTTTGCATAATGCAGTGTGGATTTTTTTTCTTTCTTTCTTGTAAGTCAACGATACTCTGGATGATATTTTTGATGCTTCTGATGAAGAAGAAGAAAGCCAAGATATTGTTAACCAAGTGCTTGATGAGATAGGGATTGAAATCTCAGGAAAGGTATGGCTAGTTCATGTGCTTCTTCCCTTTCATTCTTTTTATTTAAATACTTTATTGTAGCGGCCTTCATTTTACAAACTTATTCTAGAAGCCAGCTTATTATGACATGTATTATGTTGACTGAAGAAAACTTCTGTCTTCTAGATGGCCAAAGCTCCATCAGCTGCCAGAGGCTTACCATCTGCATCAACATCAAAAGCTGCTACCATATCAGATGAAGAAATTGAACGACAGCTCAAAGCTTTGGGAGTTGATTAGCCTGATGGCAATATACCATCTGCCTTCTAATTATTCATCTGTAGACAGATGTAAAAAGTGCAAATATTCTTCCAATGCAACTGATGTCTAGGAAAACTCTGAAGCTTCAGAAATGACAACTTTACGTTGGTACTGGGAGAAGAAAGGGACAGTATTTTGAATTAACTTACAGAGAGTAGTACACTTGGTGTGTCTGTGCATGGAGTTTTGAGCACTGGACCAACCAAGGATGTATTTCTAATGATAAATTCATATACACCAGATCCAAAGCTGTCCTCTGAATTCACAGTCTTCTTCTCAGTTCCTGATCTATCTTTAGAATTTGCTATTCTGTGGCTTGCGGTGATGCCTCAGAGGACAGCACCTATATATTATATATAATTTTTATAAAACTATCATGATAGTAAAATTCTTAGTCTGTCACCTTAGCAGAAATGAAACTTCATCTTTGCTCTTAGTTGGAAACTTTTTTTTTTAATGAGAAATAGCCTTGAAAGTCTAGCAAGTTTAGGCAGAAATAAAAAAGCATTTTATGTATTTCTTTCAAGTTCCTGTAGTATGTTTGAGCTGATGAAACAATAGCTGGTTATTCTTTTTACTGAAAGGGAAGGATACAGTCCTCATGCAGTTAATTTTACTGGAAGAGGATTTAAATTTGTTAGTGAACTTTATAGCATGAAAGGCACTGATTGAACTCTATTGTACTGTAACATAGCTGGTTTCAACAGAATTGCTGTGCCTTTATGTATATAGATCTTGTATCTTTGTGATTTTTCTCAGAATGAGTCTTTGAAAGTTGACTAAACTTGTAATTAAGATGGTTTCACAAAACACTGTGGTGAGACCTCTGTGTACACCTGAGGGGGCTCAGTGCTGAAGTTCAGAAATGCACTTGTTCAGAAGTGCAACTTGCACACTTGCAAAAAGGACATTTGCCTAAAACAACATTTGTATATATTTTACAGTATTTCTTAATGGAAGATAACTGCATAATTGTATTGTTTACTAAGATGCAATTGATCACATTGATAAGCTAAATCTAAATTTTAGTATTGAGAGTTTTGGATCATACCTGATAATTACTTTTCTATAGCACTATAATAAAACTGTTCTGGTTCTCTGAAGGTTTTTCTGTGGTCTCTGAGCTGCATCAGTATGACTGCACCTTTAAGTGGAATGCATTTGGCTAATGAAATAAGAACCGTTGATATTTTAAGTAGATGACAAAGCCTGAGAATGTAGTTCTCAGTTATGACCTCCCAAAAGGTGTGAAGTTCCTCAGCCCTTACTGTGCTGGAGATTATTTGCCCCTCAGTTGTGCTGATCTCGTAGGGCTGTTCATTGAACAGAAACAAAAAAGTCATCTTAGCTTTAAAAACAGAAAAACAAAATACCTCCCAAGAATGATACCAGGATAACTGGGGCGGGGGGAAGGGGACAGACAAACTTCATAAAGAGGCTTTGCTGTTGTAAAAGGTGTAGCAGGAAACCATAACCTCTATGAATCTACTGTTGTTGCCCCATCTGATTTTTAGATTGAAGTTAACATGGAAAGAGAAAGCATAGGTCAACCTTTGTTTGTGGTTTGGTTTTGTTTTTTTTTCTGCATAGAAATTCAGGTGTTCTTTCTCTTCAAAGGAGGTAATGAACTAACTATGAATCTGTGAGGTAGCAAGTAGGAATGTGAAAGTATATATATTGCATATATCTGATATGAGGTGACTTTTTTTTTTTTTACAATTTATTTTGTAAAAATCTAATAAAAGGCTTTTTATTCCACAATGACTTTGTCCTCTGTAGGGTTAGTCTTACACATCTGTCTCTTAGTGGGCTTTTGTTAGCTCTAATAAGTTTTCCTTTGACCCAAGCTATAGAGCAGTGTAGTAGTTCTTGTAGCGCCTTTGACCGAAACTCAGCATTAAGTAAAGACGTGATCAAGTTTGCATTCTCTTCTGTTTGTAACTGGGGGCCCAAGTGCTGCTCTCAGGCATTGAAGGAGAAATCATGATGTGGAATTAGTTAGGTATAAAATATTACTGTTTGACTGTATTTTGACTCACCACCAAGGCTTATGTCCTTTCTGAACAAAGTGTGCACTTTGTCCTTTTAATGACTGTCAAAATTTGGCATAATTCTGTTAAGACCTTTTTCCTCTCTCTGTGGGGCCTTTGACAAACAGGAATAAAGGGATTGCTTTTTGGTGTCAGTAAGACTGCTGAACTAGGGCTACTGTCAATACCTATTGTGTTTCTGTTACCAGTTACCTTTTAAGTCCTGCAGCTCTAATCTGTATGAAAGTTTTTCAGTATCGATATGTTGCAGGTTTGCAGCTTATATTTATTTCAATTATAGTTAGTATGTTGTAGCTGTCTATAATAAAATTTCATACTCTACATAGAAACAAATTCCTTCTAAAATCACTCTTAACAGACTTAAAAAAACCCAACCTCAATCCTTGAACTCCTTTATCCTTGCTGGCACCTTGGTATTGAGTAACTAAATCTAAAACTCCTCCATCCAAAAATGGCACTGCAGTTGCTGTTCCACAGATTCATCTTTTTATCCCCACCATGTTAAGAACTGTCACTTTTGCATTTTCTTAAGCTTCTTTCCAGTTTCACATGTTTACTCCTAGTTCATACATTAGGCAAGATGGTGAGCAGCCTGTCTCCAGCCCCATTTTCAATAGAGCTCATAAGGCAGTAGACCTCTGTAGCATTCAGTGCACACACATTAAATCTGGTAGAGGGAGACAGTGGCTTAAACAGTTATTCATCTTACCTTTGATCATCAGCTTTACCTGTACAGGGGCCTTTTCTAGGTCTGTTGTCTCCTTCAGATGAGGGGGACAGAACACTACACAGTACTTTGAAGACAGGTGAACCACAAATTTATACATTGTCATAACAGCTTGTTTTGCCCTCTATTCTAGTTTTAACACCCTGCCTGAAGTTATCATGGGAAAAGTTAAGAGCAAGAAGAAACCCCACAAACACCTCAAAACAGTGCAGTCCATATTAGACAGATGGCCAGCTAAACTCTTACTTGCAGGTTTATAAACCTTCCCCTCAGAAGTCTTAGCTAGGGTTTTTTCCCCAGTCAAGAGTAACAGATAGTAATTACCCAGTAAGTTGTTCTTACTGTTTTTGTTTCTCAGTAAGTAGAGAAAAAAAAAAGTCTAATGGCTGCAGCTGCAATGCATTAAATTGATTCCATCCAGCTTTTTTTCTTTAAACAGTTATGCTCTAACTTGTTTGTATTTCTGTGACAACAGCTAGATGTGTTTAAATGGTGGCTGCCTCCTCCACTTAGTCTTTTGCTAGAAAATGGCGTTATGTGTCACCTTTCATTTTATTTTGCTATGCTTCTGCTACTGACCTTCACTTGTGTGGCTTTTTTTTTTTTGTAAGACTACAAATCACAATGTTATGGTAAGTCTGCTCTTGAATTAACTATTACAGCATGCTAAAATGAATAAGCACATCAGCATGGTACACTACTAAAAAAAGTGTTATTGAAACATAACAACAAACCATTACCTGTAATACCAAATGTATAAGAATACTTTATTGGATGGGGGAAACAGTACAGGCTAATAGCATTTCTACGAAGGCTTTTTTAATAAAGAAAATAATTTGGAATATAAATAAAATCTTTTTATATATGTAGTTTCAACATACATAACATTAGATCACATACCATGAAAGGTACACAAATGCATGGCACCACTGTCCCTGGGTGTTAATATTTTCAACAATTTATCTGTCATCCTTGTGGAAATTTCATGGTCTGTCAAAACATGTGTGGTGGATAAAGGCTACAGCATGGTCTTTCCCCGCTGTAGTGGGTGAGCTATGTGAGTGATGAGAACAGCCTGAAGAGAGTACATAGCACAATTTCTCCCCTTTGAGTTATTAAATTGAAGTTTTCTTCTAAATTACGGGGTTATAGCAATGCATTCATCCATGAAAATGTATTTTTTTTTTTTTTAAATCCAGGAGCCTAGTTTCCATAGCTGAATACACCTTTGGTCACTGTAATAAGTATTGGAGATAATTTAATGCACACTAGAGAGAGAGCACTTAACTTGTACACACTGCTTCAAAGTGGTCTGGAACATTAAACTCCTTTTGCTTTCTGTGGGCCTATTATCTAGGCATTTTCTAAATCATCAGGTCTGTTTTATGGAGAAATAAAATGTATCTGGCCATTACTATTTGCCTGTACTTAATTTCAGTCCTGGGAAAACAGTCAAAAATACTTATATGGTAATGGACTATTTTAATAACAATGAGCAGGGCTGATGAGGTGGCTGGTGGCTAATCTATCCCTGGTGAGTACTTAAGTCATTAATTTGGTTTCTCAGTGCTTCTCTGATAGGTGGAGTTCTGCCACTGTATTTTTTCCCCCCCTGATTCTCTCTCTAGGCTAGCAGATAACAAATAAGAGATTCTTTTCAATTAGTGGGGTGTAAGAGAGTAGGGAAGTGTAGTGCAATAAATGGTTTATGTGGATACTTATTTCAGATGCAAGGGCTTTGTTTTTTTCGTTTAACACACTGTCTGTGGTGTATGTCCACACGTGGATTTCATAAGGAAAAAAACAATGCAAAGAAGGCCCAAAGTTATAAAAGCCCTGATAATTCTCAATTTATTTCTCCCTCAAGTTGCAGTCTTAAGATAAGGTAAATTGTATCCCTTTATAGCTAAGCCTATCCAAATCAAACTTAAAGACATAAATTAGCAAGAATTGTCTTTGGTTACATGCATAAAGTCACTTCCACTTGGCACCCGTTTAAGGCAGCAAAGTGGTACATGGAGACAGAGCACACAGTAGGAACGGTGTTGACAACTCTGTACTTAGGTGCATTGTAAATAATGACAGCGCTTATGGCACATTTCTAATGGCCTTGTCCTGAACTTGCCCAAGGAATTTACCTGAAATGCTTCACTCAGAGGTGTATGGCTGTTGTGAGCAGGTAGCTGTGTTTGAGGCATCGTTTGGAAAGCCAGTTCTTCTGCCAGCGTTCTTCTACCTGGCTCTAAGATCTGCTGGCAGTCCTACAGGATCTAATCTCATGGGTGTACCCACCCCTGGCCATAACTAGATATTCAGCAGTGGACTCAGAGTACCACTGCTTGTTTAAGGTCACTTACCTTCTCTACTTTGGGTGTCTGATTTCTC